TCTGCTGAAAAGCTCCAACAAGTTATGAATCATTTTAGTAAAGTCTGCCAAGATTTTGGATTAACAATCAGCCTGAAGAAAACACAAGTCATGGGCCAGGGCATGGATTCATCTCCCTCTATTACCATCTCTACACAAGAATTGGAGGTTGTTTCTGATTTTGTGTACTTTGGCTCAACGATCTCTGAAACTCTCTCTATATATATCGAGCTGGATAAATGCATTGGCAAAGCAGCTACCATGTTCTTTAGAATCACAAAGAGAGTATGGCTGATGGCATATACCAAGATCCAGGTCTATAGAGCCTGTGTCCTGAGTACTCTCCTGTACTGCAGTGAGCTCTAGACCTTTTGTGCATGGCAGGAGAGGAAGCTGAACACATTCCATATACGTTGTCTCTGATGCATTTTTGGTATCACTTGGCAGGAGAAAGTTACAAATAGAGTAGTCCTATAACAAGCTGGAATTTTTAGTGTGTACACATTACTGAAACAGTGATGTCTATGTTGGCTTGGGAATGTTGTGATAATAGCTGATGGCCGGATTCCAAAAGATCTCCTGTATGGAAAATTAGTGCAGGGAAAGCGTCCCAGAGGGAGACTACAGCTGCAATACAAAGGTATCTGGAAGTGGGATCTGAAGGCCTTAGGAAGGATCCTCAACAGATGGGAAACCTTGAAATCTGAGCATTCAGCCTGGAGGCAGGTGGTGCATCATGGTCTTTTCCAATTTGAAGAGGCACTTGTTCTGCAGGCCGAGGCAAAGAGGCAGTCCTGAAACCAACAAAATCAGGGAGCTGGACAGGGAACAGATTATATTAGTCTTCAACTTAGAAGGGATTGTCACTCTTGTATTGGCCTTCTCAGCCACAGTAGACACTGTTCCAAGTCTTCTATTCAGAGCACATTACCATAGTCTCTTGAGATGGAAGGATGCCTACAAGACTGCAGAATCTTGTTATTTAGAGGACATCCTCTATGAAAGATGCATAGCTAATCAATCATAAGTAGGAATAAACCATGAAATGGATTATTTTTGCATCTTTCTGATCTTCTGTGATGCATTGTTTTCCATCCCATCAGCTTATTAGGATAAAAGAATTAGCATCTCTGAATGTGGAGAATACCTGTTTCAGAAATATGAGCTATTATTATATTGCATTCTGGAGTCCTGCACCATTGTCCCTGCCAGAATGTTATGCAATAAGCTTAATTACTCCTGGAATGGAAAATTTGTTACAAACACTTAATTAATTCCATTGCTGATAGTGTCCTCTGGAACTGGACATTTATCAGAATTGATTTGGTGGGCTATCAGCAGATTTGTATCTACGTTTATAAAAAATGTGTGCACTGAGGCAAAAAAGAAAAAAAATGCTATGTTGAATTAGACCAAGGGCCAGTGTAGCCCAGCATTCTGTTTTCACCAGTGACCAGCCAGATGATTCTGAGAGGTGCATGTGCAGAACATGCTTGTGGTCAAAGATACATCTTGTTTTCTTCCCACTATTTAGATGGCTAGTGCCTTTGAAGATGGAAAACTCACATAGAAATGAATTTCAGTTCCACATTTTGAAGCTTGGCTTAAGCAGAGAAGACTGGCACACATATGCAAGATTTTTTGAATTCTTTTTTTCTTTTTGACACCATGCACACCTCTGTGGTACCCAGCTCAGGAAGATCTGTATGGAATAAAACTTTCTGTCTGTCATTTTTAGTGATCTAGTAAAATGTCACCCACCATAGAAATTAATCTGTTTTTTTTTTCTGAAACAAACTAATATGGCTACCTCTCTGAAAATTTTGAACCTTGAAACTCCATATTTATTGTAATACGGACTAGTCATTAAACAGACCAGATCCTTTGAGTTTACCAGATCTTAGCATAATCATATTTTATGACAATTTAATTATGGACTGTGTTTTTTCTGTCACAAATCCAAGCTGAGAAAACTTGCTTATTAATAAGTATTGTGACCTATACTTCTTTTGTGTTTTAGTGAAAGAACTACCATGTCATTATGTTGAAGGAAGAAAAGAAAGAAACATCTGTTCCTTCAACCATAATGGATTCTCTGGACAGAACAGTGAAAATACCCATTTTCTATCCTAATTTGAACTCCATAGAATGTTTTAACCTGCTGATTTTTGCATTCTTGAAGTCAAGGGGAAAAAATCTGAAACTGAATCCATCTGAATGCACAAATAAGGAGTACAAAAATGAACACACATTCCCAATTAAAACCACATGTTCTAATATTTGCTAGTGAACTAAATGGTATCCACAGTAGAATTGTGGAGGAAACCAAACTAGAAAAAAAGTGTAATTGCAAGAAGGAAAAATGATTTTAAAATCTCCCCTTTTGAACAAAAAGAGTTGAGGCTGCCCCCAAGCATCTTTAACTCATGCACTGACAGGTTACCTGGGATTTTTGGCACAGTAATTATGCTCCAGTTCAGCAGTAATGAGATATTACCATGGAAACCCTCCTTTCACATTGCACACTCATGCTCCCAAACATAAAATAATGGACAAAAATTAATACTTTGAAATATACTTTAAAAATACATTTAAAGCAAAGGCCAAAAAGAAAAAAAGAGTGGAAGAAACTTGACAACAGGTTCAGGAGAGAAGTGACCAGTGACCCTTGACATTTATTTTGCTATAGAGTTCCAAGAAAGTTTTCCCCTCTGTAAAAATTACATTGCCCAAGTCCAAGGCAATTTTGCTTCCTGCACTTTCTTCAAATGAAATGTTTAAGATTTTTTTTAGTATAATGCTTGTATTGGTACCATATTTCTGTATGTCTGAACTCCAGATGATTCAGGATTCTTTCTAGGTGGTCCATTGGTGCAGTATGTGTTATTTCATATTGTTATCAATGTTGTGAACTGCCGAGAGTAACCATCGGTCAGATGGGCGGTACAGAAAATGAAGAAAGAAAGAAAGAAAGAAAGAAAGAAAGAAAGAAAGAAAGAAAGAAAGAAAGAAAGAAAGAAAGAAAGAAAGAAAGAAAGAAAGCCAGCCAGCAAGCCAGCCAGCCAGCCAGCCAGCCAGCCAGCTTGGATGCTCCAAACAACTAATTATGAAACTGTGGAACCAGACCTTGGATCAGCACCAACTCTGGCACAAATATAAGAGAAAGTCTGTTTTTTTAGCACAACCTTGCCAGTGTGTAAAATGTGTACAATTGTACAGTAGTTGGAGCCTTCTTTGGCACTGCCCTTCTTTGGGATTGGGATGTAGACTAATCTTTTCCAGTCCTCCGGCCACTGTTGAGTTTTCCAAACTTACTGGCATATTGAGTGTAGCACCTTAAGAGCATCATCTTTTAAGATTTTAAATAGTTCAACTGGAATGCCATCACCTCCACTGGCCATGTTGTTAGCTATGCTTTCTAAGGCCCACTTGACTTCACTCTCCAGGATGTCTGGTTCAAGGTCAGCAAGCACACTATCTGCGTTGTGCGGGACATCCAGATCTTTCTGGTATAATTCCTCTGTGTATTCTTGTCATCTCTTCTTGATGTCTTCTGCTTCTGTTAGGTCCCTATCATTTTTATCCTTTATCATGTCCATCTTTGCACAAAATGTTCCTTTAATATCTCCAATTTTCTTGAACAGATCTACGGTTTTACCCTTTCCATTATTTTCCTCTATTTCGTGGCATTGTTCATTTAAGAAGGCCCTCTTGTCTCTCCTTGCTATTCTTTGGATGGCTGCGTACAGTTTTCTGTAACTTTCCCCAACTCCCTTGCATTTTGTTTCCCTTCTCCTCTCTGCTATTTCTAAGGCCTCGTTCGACAGCCACTTTGCTTTCTTGCATTTCCTTTTCTTTGGGATCGTTTCTGATACTGCCTCCTGGACAATGTTATGAGCCTCTATCCAAAGTTCTTCAGGCACTCTGTCCACCAAATTGAGTTCCTTAAATCTGTTCTTTACTTTCACTGTGTATTCATAAGAGATTTGGTTTAGATTACACCTGACTAGCCCTGTCGTTTTCCTACTTTCTTCAATTTAAGCTTGAATTTTGCTATAAGAAGCTGATTATCAGAGCCACAATCAGCTCCAGGTGTTGTTTTGGATGATGATTAAAAGGTCATTATCTTCAATGTAATCTATATTAACTCCTGGTACTCAAAGGCAGAACAAAGATCTATTTGCATCTCAATGAATCATCCCAAAATGATTGCACACCCTAGCCCTGTGTCATAAAGATACAGGCCAGCTCTTAAAGGGGAAGGATGGATAATTTTAAGTACAAGCACAAGTGGATGAGGTCTTTTTTTCATGCCAAACAGTGCTGTCAGGGTACCATGTACAATAGCAATGTGCCAGCATGGACAGGCACTATCTTAGGGATGACCTATCTAATTATGAGCTGCTTGAAGTTTAAAATCTTCAGAAGAAGTCCTGTTAAAAATGCCAACAGTTTCAGAGCCTTACTGTAGAGGCATGCATTTCTTTCGCCTGTCTCTCAGACTGTGGAAAGCACTCCTTTCCAAATTTCAGTCTAGCCTGACTGATTTTAAGGAAGAAGTAACATCTGTATTATTATTATTATTTGTATAGTTCAAACCCTATATTAGCTGGGAATTATTATTATTATTATTATTTTGGTTTTTAATGCATTATGCTTAATTTTAATGGTTTTATGGTGGGTTTATATTTTTGTTAATTTTCTAGCTAAGTGTGTGTGTGTGAGATCTGTTTTTATTTTTTTAAGACATTGGAATATGTCAATGTTGACTCAAATGCTAATAAAAGGCATTTTGTTGGTGGGTGGCCAAATTATGTGCCACTTTCTAGGTTGCCATTTTGGGGCTGTTGAGTTTAACTCCAAGATTCGGCTTTATTTGTGTTCAGTTGAGATCATCAATGCCTTACAAATTTTACTTTGTTAGGAATATTTTAAAAAGAAAACTATGAACTTGAGAGAAAAAAAGAAAAATCAAAGTTTATTTTTTTCCCCTTACAAAATAATTATTTCTTTTCTCTCAGGACAGTGATAACCTCTGGTGGGATGCCTTTACAACAGAATTTTTTGAAGATGATGCAACATTTACTCTTTCATTTTGCTTGGAAGATGGACCAAAGCGATACAGTAAGAGACAAATGCTTTCTAATACTTTACCTTTTCTTCTGTGTATTTATAAAACGGATCCAGATGCCAGTTGAAGCATAGCACTGCTATAACATTTTTTTCAATGTGTATCAAATTATATTGGGGTATGGAAAAGCACCTCAAATGTGGACTGTGTCCAGATCTCCATTCACTCCGAAATGAAATTGGGCAAATCACTCTCTTCACTTAACCTGGAAAGTTTTTCCAAGAATAAAATGAGATAAGCTTGTGTGTCCTGCCATGAACACTCTGTGGGATTCATATGGTTCAACGGCAATTGGCTAAAGAGACAGAATTTTTTCTTAGAGCAATATACATTTGAAATATATGTCCATGCTGGAACAGTCTTTGTCTGGCTGATGAGAGTGTCTGTTTCAGGGTAAGCTTCATCCTTAAAAACTTTGTTTGTGAAATATATTATATTAATATATTAAAATATATTAATTTCTTCTTTTAAAAATGTAAAGTAATTTTCATAATATAAAATAAGAACAGAAAGACTGTGGAAGGATAATTTAAAACCCAGAGTTCAAAGACCTGAAATCTACTCATAAGGTATTCCTGAACTGGGATTTGAATTAGGAGAATTGTGGTGCAAGATTGTGGTAGGTACATCTGTACAATCTAATATGTTTTCTGTTACAAAAATAGTGAGCAGGTCCACAATGCTCAGTCACTCTCAATTGGAGCAGGAGCAGCTATACAGACGATATGCAAGTTCAGCTGGTTGATAGTTTAGCTGTCTTCAGCTGTGGATTTTCCCTACTGTAAAAAAAAATCAAGCCTGTTTTCTTTCTCTGATTTTTGGGATGAAACAAGTCAGAAAAAGATGCCTGCACTCTGCTAGGCAACATGAGAGACCTGCTAGGCAACATGAGAGAGAGATCATTTACCTGCTGTAACCATGACAAGCCTAATTGATGCAGAAAGTACTCAGTGTGCTTACTACCAGAGAACACACTAAACCAGTGGTTCTCAACATTGCTAAACGCAGGTGTTCTTAGAGTACAATTCCCCCCCCCCAAACTTGGTTAGCACAGGTGGTGGCGAAGGCTTCTGGGAACTGCAGTCTGAGAAGACCTGAGTTACCCATGGATGGGAACCACTGCACTAAACCAGTGGTTCTTAACCTTTGTTACTCGGATGTTTTTGAACTGCAGCTCCCAGAAACCCCAACCAGCACAGTTGGTGGTGAAGGCTTCTGGGAGTTGCAGTCCAAAACTCCTGAGTAACCCAAGGTTAAGAACCAGTGCACTAAACCATTGCACAAATGTTCTGAATATGATCAGATATTGGCTAGGAAAAGGTAAAGGTTGCCCTTGACAATTTTGGTCCAGTCGTGTTCGACTCTAGGGGGCGGTCCTCATCCCCATTTCCAAGCCATAGAGCCAGCGTTTGTCCGAAGGCAATATTCCGTGGTCACGTGGCCAGTGCGACTTAGACACGGAACGCTGTTACCTTCCCACCGAAGTGGTCCCTATTTATCTACTCGCATTTGTATGCTTTCGAACCGCTAGGTTGGCGGGAGCTGGGACAAGAGACGGGCGCTCACTCCCTCGCGTGGATTCGATCTTACGACTGCTTGGTCTTCTGACCCTGCAGCACTGAGGCTTCTGCAGTTTAGCCCGCAGCGCCACCACGTCCCTGAGATATTGGCTAAAAGGATCTAAAACCTACTTGCAAAGTGAGATCTGGGCTCAATACCACTTAGGTAGGAAGGCATGCTCATCTGTTGGTAGTTCTGGTGTATATCAGAAGTACAAGAAACTTAAAATGGTAGCAAAAAGAATGATGAGACAAAAGCTGTCCACAAGACATGGGAATATATAGCATTAGCAACCCTAATTAATGGACATAAAATATATTGGATTTTATGCTTCTCAGCAGCCCTTAATTTAAGACTTTAAAGAATCAGTTATATACAGCATCATACCCTCTAATATTTCTCAGATGAAAGCAGGCACATTCTTATATGCCTATGACATTGCTATTCATGATGCCACCAATAATGCTGAGCCTCTCCTCCCCTGATATTTGATATTATTTAGCACAGTGTCAGCAGTTTAGACTGACGGCAGGTCTGCAGCTTTCAGCCTCAATTCTTTGTTAGCCCACCTTGTAGATCTGTGAGGGTCTCCATCCAATGAGGCCTGATAGTTTGGCTTCCAAAATCAAGTGCGTTCAAGCTCTCTTGCCATTGTACTCAGGATGTGTCCTAATCAGTGCTGAAAAGAGAATATATAGTACTTAATGGGATTGGGAGATGATACTTCTGTTAATGTATTTGCTTCCCCCCCACCTGCACAGCACCATTGGCTTATGTCCAAGACCCTTATATATAGTATTACTGACTCAAATATCCTGCATTTTATTTATTTATTTATTTATTAAATTTATATGCCGCCCACTCTACCCAGAGTTAATATGCTGCCCACTCTACCCAGAGGTCTCTGGGCGGCTTACAAATAGTTTTGTAACTATTTATTTGGTTTCCTTTTTGTACTGGATCTAAAATTTTACATTTATCTTTGTTAAACTTCATCCTGTTGATTCCAGATTAGTGCTTGAGCCTATCAGCATCTTTTACAATTTTGTTTCTATCTGCCAGAGTATTAGCTGTTCCACCCATTTTTGTGTCTTCCATATATCTGATCAGCACTCTCTCATCTGAGTCATTAATAAACACGAAGAAGTGCACTGAGCCCAGGACTGAGCCTTGTGGTACCTCCTCTCAGTTTGATTAGTAGCCATTGATAAGCCCTCTCTGAGTACAAATCTGCAACCAACAATGTATTCACTTGACAGTTGTTCTATCTAGCCCAGACTGAGTTAGCTTGCTAAACAGAATATCATGGGAGCAATTTCTCAAAAGCTTTTCTGAAGTCAAGTTTTATTACATCTCTGTCTTTCCTGCCATCTACCATAGAGATTACCTGATGATAAAATAAAATAAGAGTAAGTTGGCAGGATTTGTTCTTAATCCATGCTCACTTTTAGTTACCACTGCATTTTTTTCAACATCTTCAAATGTTGACTGCTTTTTAATCTGATCCAGATTTTACCCTGGGATAGATGTCAGGCTAAGTGGTCTGTTGTCCTTTTTGCTGTTTTTGAAGATAGGGACAGTAGCTGTACTCCAGTCATCTAGCATTTCTCCATGATTTCAAGAAAATAGTAGTTGTTCTGAGAGTTCTTTAGGCAGTTCCTTCAATACTTTAAAAACCAACTTAAGACCTGGTTATTCAGACAGGCCTTCCCTCCAGGCACTACTTAATTTATTCTTTCATCCCATCTTGAGTTATTGCTATCATTGTATATGGTTGATAAATTCTTATTATATATTAACAGTTTTAATTTTTTAATGTTGTGAGCTGCCCAGAGTAGACAATGTCTAGATGGGTGGCATATAAGCGCAATAAATAAATAAATAAATAAATAAATAAATAAATAAATAAATACATGAATGAATGAATGAATGAATGAATGAATGAATAACTAAATAACTAACTAACTAACTAAATAAATAAATAAATACTCTCAGATGCAGTTCAACAATAACCTGCAGACAGTAACTTGTTCAAAGTAATAAGGTATTCCTTTGCTATTGGTTTATCAATCTCAAGGTGCAATCCTGTCCCTTGTACTTCACATTTCCCTGGAAGGTCATGACTGTTTTTTGCGAAAAGATCAAGCTAAAGTAGGTCTGGAGCATGTCTGCCTTTTCTTTGTTGTCTGTTATCATTTTTCCATATCCATTGAGTAATTGAGCCACTGTTTCTTTTTTCTTTCTTTTTCTATGTATGTTCCTTTTTGTTACTTTTAGCATCTCTTCCTATCCTCAGTTCATTCTTGGCTTTTGCCATCCTAACACTATCTTTGTAATTCTTTTCTACCTGTGACCTGGCCTTACTTCTACTTACTATAGGTAGCCCTTTTTATTTTCAGGTCCTCTCTGAGCTTATTGTGAAGGCACATTGGTCTCTTTTTTTTGCTGTCTACCATCTTCTTGTTGGAATTGTTTGTACTTGTACCTTTAGAATTTCCTTTTTCAAGAAACTCCTACCCATCAGTAGAACATGATCATATTCTCCCTCTTGCTCCTACTGCTTCCACCAAATAATTTCTATTGGTTAGAATCAAGTCATGGACAACTAATCCTGCAGTTTCAACCTCCACTTTTTGTAGAAGAAAATTATCATTGACACAAGTCAGGAATTTCTTGGAAAGGCCATGTTTGGCAGAATTTGCCTCCCAGCAGATATCAGGGTAATTGAAATTTTCTCTTATTACTACATGATGTCTCTTGGAAATTCTTGCAGTCTGTTTTCTGAAGTTTTCCTATTCATCTTCTCCTTGTTTGGGCTTGCTTTGTTCTTATTGTGCATAGGCCTTCATCTATCTTTAAATTCAGGTTTGCATCTCTCTGCCTTTTCTAATTCAATTTGAAGCCCTCCTGGTGCAGGTCTTCATACTGTGGCCAAACACATTATTTCTAGTCCTTTTAAGGTGCAACGCATTGCTTACCAGAAGTCCATCTGCCAGGAAGGATAGTCCATAGTCTCAAAACCCAAATACCTCATGTCAGCACCACCTTCATAGCTAGTTGTTCACCTAGAGTATTTTCTGTTCCCTTTCTATTCCTTTTCTGAGTGCTGAGAAGACTGTCTGGTTCAAAGTGTTGAAGTTCCTTCCCAAAGCTTCAAAGTATGATATTATTTCTTCATAGTTCTTCTTGGCTGTGTTGTTTGTTCCCACTTGGGGGAGAAGAAGAGATATGCATCCATGGGATTCTTGAGCAATGAAAATTATTTGATCACATCCCTAACTCATCCTCTAGGGGGACAGCATATTTGATGGGTCCATGGATCTTCTCGGCATATTTGGTTTCAATCCTATACAGTAGGGAGTCCCCTACTACAGTTATTCTTTTTGTTTGTAGGATGCAGGTTCAGTGACTCTGCTTTGCTTAGTGTCAGCCT